TATATACCTATATATGTCTCACATATATGTCTCACATATATGTCTCACATATATCATGTGAGACATTAAACTGCCTCAAAATACTTTTCATTAGGACTGTGCAATCTGCCAGAAAACTTTTGAAGCAATCATTCCATCAATGTTTTAAAGATGTGCACTCAAGTTTAATCCAACTTGTGAAACTGCCAACAAAAACATGGAAAGACTGACCAGATGCTGTTAACCCCTTCTTTGTGCATATATATCCCTCTTCTAGGGTGTTTTGTAACTGGAACGTCTGTTGTTCAAGTGTGTACATGCTGTTGACCAGACTTAGACTGGATATATGTCTTTAAGGCCTCAATCACACGAGAAAACAGCGGCACCTACGGCCGTATCGGGCAGCTCCCGGGAAGGACAGGTGTTCTATGTGATTAGTAGATGGATCCTGTCTGCGTCCGAGCCGGGACACTCACAACCGTACGGACCTGCACTTGGTGTGAGTGTAGGGCGGGGTATGGCCGTGTACTCCCATAGAGAAGGAGAGGGGCTGCGTACTAATCACACGAAGAAACTGTCCTTCCCGGGAGCTGCACAATATGGCCGTGCCGGCCTTTTCTCGTGTGAATGAGGCTTAAATGTTGCTGCCTAATATATCTGTGAATTTAAAAAAAGACATCCATTTTACAGGATACCGGTACAGATATCCTTTAAAAGTTGGTCCTCCTCTTCCAGGAACTCTCCCAAAGTTTCAACCTGCCATGCTCCTCCAAGATCGTTGCTGTACGGCCTGCTGGAAACCACATATCATCGCATAAGTGGAGGAATCTCCATAGAAATATATGGAGATTATACCATGCATCTGCAGTAGAAAAAAAAACCTGGCCAGGAGTCTGCTGCAGTGGGTGTTGCGTGGCTTTCAGCAGATTGCAGAAGGTTAATCTTAGAGTGAGTACAGGTGAGTATGTAACTTTGCAAAGTTGCTTGGGGGGCAATCACTGATTTTATAAAAAATAATTGATAATGTGATCTTTACAACATGATTAATGTTATCTCAGTAACGCTATGTAAAACCAATAAAATATTTTGGAATTGAAAAATAATTGATATTTCATGTATCACCTTATATCTTGCCCTGGACGTGCCTGCACCAATATACGAACTTCCAGTTCTTCTGTTCCCTGTAAAATAACAGTGTTTATTCCAAGATACGCAATGCTGACAAGCTGCAAGTGATGACGTACAGAATAGGTAATTATAACAAAATAAAACGTAGGCCAACTTGAGCATAAGAACTACTAAATCAGTATTTTGATATGTTATACACATTGTGAGGTGTCGCAAGTTTTCACCAGAGGTAAATATATTCTGAAGGATAGAAATAACTTTAGTTTACTTACATCATCTGATTCTCTAATGAGCTCAGTATCCTCCACCTGTACTACTGCATCAGCACCACATGGAATTGGAGCACCAGTTGTTACTCTCATCACTTGACCTGGCATTACTGTCTGAGTTGGCTAATGGAAAAACAATGAAAGAACACATCACCTTGTGAGAGGCATTACATTTAGCTATAACTGTAGCAAAAGGGACAGCAATGCAAGCATGCCATTTTCAAGTAACATTTAAAACTTCGGGCACAACCCTATCCCTGTCTTAAGACCTTTCCAAGACACATGTATTGTACTGGTATACATGCTCATATTTTAACTTTTTTTTTATTAATCAAAGCTAATTTATTGTTACTAATTAAAATCAAGAAAAAATAGTCAATTATGCTTATTTTGTAGCAGATGTATTTTTGCCCCAGTAGCTGAATTAGGGGTTCATGAGCTTGAACTCCAAAACACAGAATCCATGTATACTTGCTAGCTCCTGATGCAACTGTGTTGAGGCCCAGTGACCCAATGTAAAAAGGTGGGGGCTGTCATTGCAGGCTTCCTTCTATACATGCTAGAAGCCTAGCTGTATCTGACTTCAGTATCTTTTAGTCACAGTCCCAGAACAAGCATGCTGTAAATGTGTGTAAAAAAAAGTATCAGAACTACTTATACTCTATACGTGGACTCAGATGGCTTTGAAGTGAATGACAGCCAGGAAACTAGCATTCTCAAAGGAGAAATCCGTAATGCAGCCATCTTTAATTTCCAATGGCAGTGTCCCTTAAAGCAAAGCAATGAATTTGAACTTTTGGAAAAACTGCAACCCTTTGTTACCCTGCCAATTATGGTGCTCTCATACCGCTGGATGTCAGAAACACATGGTAAAACTGAAATATAGTGAGCGTTTTCAGCTTTGATCATGCAAGAGCTGTGCTGTCCAACAGCATATTGTAGTCATTCTAAATGTTTCCCCTTCATCATTCAGCAGGAACATTGCTGGTAAGAATCTGGATGGTCTCAAGCTTCAATGAAATAAACATGTAAATACTAATTAGTTATAAAATCAGGGACCAGCAGCTGTTTGCAGTAGCCCCTAACCATACTAACTTTATGAGTAATCCAAGGCTGTGACCTGATCAGATGGTGGGGCATTCTTTTTCAGCACCTTCTAATAAAAGTCCCATGATACTGCAAAGCATCTTCACTTAGGAAATCCTCTTTAGACAACATTTTACCCACTTATAATGTAAAAAACAAAATTACAAAATCACTGAATTCAGAAATAAATATTTATCTCCAAAGCACAAGCATCTGCAAAACATATACACTGTCTCACTACATCAATGTTATATAGCAACAATGTGAAAAGATACAAAGGCGATTAAGCCTGATAGTAGATAAATATTAGAATGTTCAAAGGATTGCAAATGTTTTGCAAGGTGCCAAAACAGCCTGGAGTCACAGACAATTACACGTGTCTATGTAACTACTACAGACCCACATACAATGAGTAACAAAAACTTGCTTATGCTGCTTACATATACATTGAAAAAACAGCAGAAAAATGTGCTTATAAACAGCTGAAACAATCTTTACTGAAGTATATGTAAACACCAACAGGATTACATTTAGGTTGCTATACCTCCCAACTTTCTGAGATGAGAAAGAGGGACACCTTCTAGCATGTATTTAGGCAATAGACACACCCCTGCCACAACCCCAGTTATGCTGACCATTATGAATGTATTTTTTCAAAATGACTGGTTAAACCCAGAATTGTTGTTTTACTCAATTATTACCATATGTCTCCTTTATAATGGCTATTTAGGTCAGGTTTTGATAAGATAAACGCATGCATATTCACAGATGACACTCACCTGTTCTCCAGCCTGAGACTCGCCTATGATGAAGCGATCTCCTGGCCCATCTGCAGCTGTAAAATATTTATACCAATAAATGACTAGGAGAAAAAACTGCATATGAAAGTTAAAGAAGACAGCAGGAATAAGTTTGATGTTGTCTTAAATTTCTTTTATATTAAAATATAAGAGCTTAGTAAAATATAAGAAACTCCAGTTTGTATTGTCGAGAAGGTCTTGAGCTGAATGCACTATCTTTACATGTTTTCCTTTGTAAATGATTGTATCAAGCCTCGCTGTCCCATGATGGGGCA